AACAAAAATACCAATATTTGCCTTAGAATTTAAATAAGATCCAGAGTCATGTAATATTCAAAATATCCAGAATACAATGAAAGATTACTTGGCATATTAAGAACCACAGAAATATTCCCTCTCATGAAAAAACACAAAGTATACATTTATGTTGATAACAAAATTATGCAGAAAAAGTAAAATTCATAACACCAAGAACAGAACTGGTTCTTTCAAAATACTGATAAAAAGACAAACCTCTATAACTCCTCTGAATAATAAAAAGAAAACCAGAAACACATAAATAAGAGGTTTCTATCCAACAGTACAGATATTTTAAAATTATACTAAGCACAACTGTTTACCAATTCATTTGAACATCTAGATGGAAAGGATAACTTTCAAGGAAAATGTAAATCAGCAAAATATACTCACAAGGATGTACATATTAATCTAGATGGACTATCTGTTGCTATGTTAGTCATTCTCAATCCCTGTGGCCATATGTCCACTGCAGGTTGGGGTACTTCTGCTTCATGTCCACTTTGCTCTGGAATCCAGGCTGATGGAGATCCTCTAGCTAGGACATTGGCAGTCACATGGTCAAGCCTATATGGTAGGAGGGAGATATAATCCTATTCCAGGGAAGGGCAACAGATACATGTGAACAACAAGGCAGTCTCTCTTGTGGTTTAAAATATAGTTTAACCATAATCATGAAATAAGTAGAAAGGATTGTGAAAAATCTACACCCCGTTTCACAAAATAAAGAATAAATAAGAAATGCAGGACCCAAAAGCTTTTATGAGTGAAATCTGTCAAACTTTAAAGAAACAGACAAAAGGTCGGTGTTTTCTAATGTGTTTCCCACTCCTGGGCATATATCCAGAAGGAACCCTACTCCAAAAAGACACTTGCACCCCAATGTTCATAGAAGCACTATTTACAATAGCCAAGAAATGGAAACAGACTAAATGTACATTGACAGGTGACTGGATAAAGAAGAAGTGGTATATTTATACAATGGAATACTATTTGGCCATAAAAATGACAACATAATGCCATTTGCAGCAACATGGATGTCCGCGGAGAATGTCGTTCTAAGTGAAGTAAGCCAGAAAGAGAAAGAAAAATACCATATGAGATCACTCATATGTGGAATCTTTAAAAAAAAAAAGACAAATGAACTTAAATATAAAACAGAAACAGAGTACAAACTTGTGGTTGCCAGGGGGAGGAGGGTGGGAAGGGATAGACTGGGAGTTCGAGATTGGTAGATACTGACAGGTATATATAGAATAGACAAACAAGTTTATACTGTACAGCACAAGGAAATATATACAAGTTCTTGTGGTAGCTCACGGGAAAAAAGAGTATGAAAATGACTATATGTATATTCATTTGTGACTGAAAAATTGTGCTGTACACCAGAAATTGACACAACATTGTAAACTGTAAGTCAATAAACAACAAAAAAATAGGTTAAGGGAAGAAAATCACTTGATTATTTCAGTGGATACAAAAAAGACATGTTTGAAAAACTCAACATTCTTTTTCAAAGTTCTTAGTAAAATAGTAATGCAGTGAAAAGTTCTATAACCTAATAAAGATAAATTAAAGTTAAAATGCTTCCAGTAGGAACAAGACAAAGATGCCCACCATTACTGTGGTTATTCATTTTACTCCAGGCTCTAGCTAATGTAAGAAGACAAAAAAAAAAAAGAAAAGAAGAATAAATATTAGAACGGAAGACAGAAAACTATCATTATTTGTAAACCATGATGACTACCTAGAAAACAGAAGACATCAATTGAAAAATGAAAGTAATGAGTCTAGTAAGGTGTCCAGTTATAAGATGTAAACATACATAAACCCACCAAGGGTTTCCAGTCACCAAGTAGAACATGTAATGAGTAAAATAACTCATTTAAATAAAATAGAAACATTATATTTATGATATATAAATATTATAAAATATCTAGGAATAAACAGAAAATAGCTAAAATTTATAAGTGAAATATAAGAATTTCTGACGGACATAAAGGATTAAACTAATGGAATGACATATTCTATCAGTGTCAGTAAATTAGTGTAATCAAAATCCTAACCCTACCTGAGGGGAAACAACACATTTATTCTTACTTTATTTTTCAAATAAAATTGTATACATTTAAGGTGTACAACATGATGATTTGATATACATATACATAGTGAAATGATTACTACAGTCAAGTTAATTAACATATCCATCTCCTCGTGTAGCTATCATTTTTTTGTGTATGTGGTGACAGCATCTGAAATCTACTCTCTTGGTAAATTTCCAGCTTTCAATACAGTATTATTATCTACAGTCAACATTCTGTACAACAGCTCTCTAGAGCCTATTCATCTTACCCAACTACAACTTTGTTACCTTTTACCAACATCTTCCCTTTTCCCCCACTTCCTTTTGCTGGGCAACCACCGTTCTACCCTCTCTCTGCTTCTATGTATTTGAGGTTTTCAGATTCCACATATAAGTGAGATTATGCAGTTGTTTTCTTTCTGTGTCTGGCTTTTTCAACCTATGAATGGATTAAGATTTTGACACATTTTATTCTTTTTTACACATTTATTCTTAAATTCTAATATACGGCATGAGAATATCCAACAAATTTTGAAGGGAAAAAAAGATAATAAATACACACTAAGGAATTAGCGTAACTAAAACAATGTAGTGTTAGGACAGGAATAGACAGATTATATATATGACAACTTAATATTTGAAAAGGGTAGAATTTCTAATCATTGAAGTAAAGGATGGAGTATTCTATGGATAGTGTGGGGTAAATAGCTAACCATTTAGAAGAAAATAGTTGTTATCCCTACCTCCACATTCTATACATAAGTCAGTCCCCAAGAAAGACTGGGGTTGAAGGAGCACATTTTGATAAATGTTGATTTCCCACTAGCTATGTCGAATTTGAGGAATTTGTGGATGTGTTTAGTAGGAAGTTGGCTGTGTTGGTATAATGCTCAACAGAGCGGGCTTGAGTCCGTCATTTGGGAGTCAGCAATGCAAAGACAGTAACTAAAGTCATGAGAGTAGGTGAGATTGTCTGGGGAGAAGAGGATGGAGAGTGAGAAAAGAATTGGCAAAGATCGCACATGACTTCCTGCTCCCTCAAATCCTATGGATATGCTTTAGTCCCTGTCTTTCTGAACCCACTGCTGCACTGTGATAGTATTATCCATTCCTTCCTGTGAAACTGAACTCTTCAGGTCCTCCATTCTCTCCTTCTAAGTTTGCTTTCCCTTTTTTGTACACCCTAAACTTTGTTGTTCCCCAGGGAAGACTAAAGAGACTCTGTGTTGAGCTATCAGGAAAAACTTCCGGAGCCACATTGTCTCTAGGATCAGGAAGCTACTTACAGATTTTGGAAGCTGTTGGTTTCAGAACTTGATAGAAATGAGGGAGAAATCCATGCAGATATCTCAAGAAAGAGAATTCCACATTGAGTGAAGAGCAAGTACAAAGGCCCTGAGGTGTGAGGTGTGACCACACTGGGTGTATGTGATGAACAGGAAAGAATAGCTCAGGCAACAAATGACAGTGCAACAAGTTAAATTTCTGATGCCTAGTAGACATTCAGATGGAGATGTCAGGTAGACAGCTGGCTATAAAAGTCTGGAGTCCATGGGAAAGAGACAAACTGAAGATACAAATTCAGGACTCATTGGCTTTACAGATGCTATTTACAGCCATGGGACTGAATGAGGCCACCAAGAGAATTACTATAACTGAAGAAAAGTTAATCAGGCTCTGAGGAGTGTTTTAAGGAGGATAGAGTGCATGTTAAATGCTGTTGCATTGTTGGTCCTCCCTCCCTCCCTCCCTTATTCACTTGTGACTATAAACTCAGCCTACCTATGCCCAGACTCAGAATCAAACATATGCCTTTTTTTTTTGAACCATCCCCTAAATATATTCCAATCTGGGCTCCACACTCTAAGTGATCCTGACACTAAACGTACACCATAGTAGGACTTGAAAAAACTATTAGGCAATTTAGTCTGGGGAAAGAAGACTTTCCAAGGAAGACAACAGTTGTAATCAGCTACTTGGTATCTCTCTGAAGAAAACAAAAACACAAATTTGAAAACATACACAGACCCTGATGTTCATAGCAGCACTATTTATGACAGCCAAGACATGGAAACAACCTAACTTTCCATCAACAGGTGACTGGATAAAGAAGATGTGGTATATTTATACAATAGAATACTACTCAGCCATAAAAAAGAACAAAATAATGCCATTTTCAACAGCATGGATGGACTTGGAGGGTATTATGATAAGTGAAATAAGTCAAACAGAGAAAGACAAATACTGTATGACATCACTTACATGTGGAATCTAAAATATACAACAAACTAGTGAATACAACAAAAAAAGAAGCAGATTCACAGACACAGAACAAACTAGTGGTTACCAACGGGGAGAGGGAAGAGGGGAGAGACAAGATAAGGGTAGGGGATTAAGAGATACAAACTACTATGTAAAAATAGATAAGCAACAAGGATATATTGTACAGCACAGGGAATTATAGCCATTATTTTGTAATAACTTAAGATGGAGTATAGTCTATAAAAATACCAAATCACTACGTTGTACATGTGAAATTAATATAATACTGTAAATTAACCATACTTCAATTAAAAAAACAAAAGAAGGTATTTAATTTACAATGCTTAATTTTTTAAAGAAAAGATCCTTAACGAAGAATTGCAATTCAGATTTAGGCTTGACAGAACCAATTTTTCCAAAAGTATGGAACTCCCAGGCACTTCTGAGGTCTCTGGGACTTTCAGCATGGTGACCATATGATTTTCAAAAGTCATATTCTCTTTCTGGGTTTAAGATCCTGGTGAATACTATTGTGCATAGTACATGTCATACCTAATTGATATTCCTGGTAGTGGTTGCTACTCTGCAGTTACAGACTCCTCTGGAAACAGCTACAACACACACTTGGAATCTCACAGTCACATAATCAACTATTTTACTAAATACAAGCATAATTTCATCCACATACAGCTAAAGAAAACATTTTTTCACATTTCATTACAGTGCACAACAAAGTGAGGAAAGGTATACAGTACATTTTATTCTGAAATATGAGACAATCTAATCCAACATGCAGCTGTGGTCTTTGTTACAAGTTAGTTTATCTTCTCTTTACCTATGTAGTAAAATAGCTTCTAAAGCTTTATCCTTAATATTGTATTAACACCTGATTTTTTCACACATTTTCTAAAACCCACTTATTGCAGTGACAACAGCACTGAATTCTACTAAAATGATTTTTAAAGTTTCTAGAACTTGTTGAAGCAGTTAAGCTCAGCCACTTCTGCTGGATCTATGCTGCGTATTTTCAAATCTGCCTTAAAAAGTGCAAGGACTGGGGAAAGTGTACATACGGTATATTTAAGTCAAGAAAACTATAGTTTTGTTTCTGTCCTTTTTTTGAACTGAGAATCCAGTCAAGTATCATTTAGCCACTGGATAATCTTGCTTTCAGACTCTTCTAAACATAATTAAGGACAGTAGTTGATGAAACTTTGTGTTACTCCAATGTATTATGTTTCATTTGCCTTCTACAACCACAAAGCTGGGAACTTAATAGCTCCACCCAAACCAGGTCGTGTTAAATGTGGAGATGGTGATTGGCTCGCTTTTGTAGTTGATGCTGCAGGTAGGTAGGTCCAAGGTGGTTTGTTTCCATAATTTTCATTATTTGGGTGAAGCCGGCTTTTTTATTCCGGCTGAAGTAGATCCCCCCAAATTTCAGATTCAGTTACATTCATCCTGAAGTTCAATAATATATCTCAGGGAAATATATGCAAAATCTTGTGGTAGCTCACAGTGAAAAAGAATGCAACAATGAACATATGTATGTTCATGTATAACTGAAAAATTGTGCTCTACACTGGAATTTGACACAACATTGTAAAATGCCTATAACTCAATAAAAAATGTTAAAAAAGATATATCTCAAAGCAATTTACCATTCTCAGGCTTTCCTTTCACAATGGATATGAGAAACCTGACTCTCATCAGAATTGTTTTCTTACTGTGAAAACTATGGCTTTGGTTAGCTGAACTGGCTCCAATTCAAAAAATAATTTAAAGCATCACCTCTCTTTAAGAAGATAATGGAACCTCAAGCCAAGCATTCCAATTTTCTGATGCAGTTAGCTGTCTGTTCACCTGAGAATTAAGAGCTGACTTTCTAGGGTAGACAGAAACCCAGTGTAGGTATATGGCAAACAAGTGGCCAAGGTCATTGTGAGGTGAGTATTTTATCTCCATCCCACTCCCCATTGCTGTATTTGGTTCCTTTCAATAATACATCCACTGTGTTCCAGTGATAAGAACACTTAGAGCCCACACAGTTCCGATGTGTTTTTCAGTTGTACAATTATTCACTTGTGTAAAATCCTTGTGACAATAATACCTGAATGAGTTTTACCTTTGATTCAACCCCAGGTTCCCTCAGGATTATAGCTGAGTTGTAATCAATGAGGAAACATATCCTAACATGTAGAGAATATTTATTTACAGTCATATCTCTTCCAAAGTAAACAAGTTAGTAACAATTTATTCATCGGACAGCAGGATGACGCGGTGAAACAAGAACCAGGAGTCAGGAGACCTCACCTTGGCCAACTGAGTCTCCTGACTCTTAGTTTATTTTTTCATAAAATGGGGAAGAAAACCTCAGGGCTCTTTCTGGAGACAATCCCTGCCTTGTTGCCACCAATGCACCTGAAGAGCCAGTGAACCCACGGGCACGGTCAGAGGGAAAAGAGGGAATGGTGTTTGGGTTACAGTGTTTCTTTCTTCTACTCCCATGATAATTTGCTTGGGACAGTTTCTTACACACAGCTTGTTATTTCTATTACAAGGGTATACATTTTTTAATGTAATAATAACAGTGTGTAAATAGCCTTCCTTTTCACATTCACACCATTTTTATTAGAACATCAAGCCTTGAAAGGGTCTTAGTAAATAGCTGGTCCATGCCCCTCATTTTCCAGATGAGCTGTTTAGAAGCTAACAGGTACCTCTTAACCAAAGCCAGCACATACATTTGTTGTAGGGTACTCTCATGGATGAAGCTGATCTCATAGTCTTTGTTAGTTTTGTTAATTGTTCCGAGCATGATACTTTTCTCCTCTTTACATATTTCTTTATGATCGTGACCTATGAAAGAGCTGAAATATCAAGAAAGAGTTGTCCTGTCTGTGAGTGTATTTTCCTGGGGCTTAGCTCCCCAAACCTCAGCTCCTGGACATGTGGTCCACAAAGGGCACACAGAGCAGCCACTGCCCGGCATACGCCACAAATCAGTGCCTCACCCGTGTCAGTCCCAGTTACAGCGCCCAGGCTCCCCCATCCCCCCACTCACTGCCTGTCAGAGGGCCCCTTGGGAAGGAGGCTCACTTGGTATCCAATATGGAGGTTCAGTTCTCTACAGTCACACGACGATCACTTTTTAAGTTCAAGTGGGAGAGCATGTTTTGAAAATGAAAGGGCTAACTAGCACAAACATCTTCTCTCTGATTTGACAACCTCTTCTGAAGAGTGAACCACATTTGGTACAAATCCACTCTTCACCCCTTCCCAGCCCTCCTGGATAGAAATATCCCCCCTTTTAACCAGCTCATATATGTCTTTGGTGAGGTCTGTGAAGGCTTTCTCCACATTAATGGCATCTCGGGCTGACGTCTCAATGTACTTCATGCCATATGCAGCAGCCAGTTTCTCTGCCTCGTGGCGAGTCACTTGCCTCTGTGTATCCAGGTCACACTTGTGACCCACGAGAACAAATACAATTTGGTAGGGCTGAACGTGTACTTTAGTCTCTTCTAACCACTCATGGACATTCTGGAAGGACCTGCGGTTGGTAATGTCAAATAAGAGAAGACCACCTACTGAGTTCCTGTAGTAGGCACGAGTGATGGATCTAAAACACAAGAAAGAAGTAAAGAATAAAGGCCATGCCCAAACTCCTGCACTTCAACAAATTCAGACAGTGTATTCTGCAGCCTCTGGTTACTGACACCATCCTTCAGTGAAAATGATTTTCTTTTCTTTAACAAGAGAATGCAAATGTCATGCCATAATAATAATGATACATGAATTTTCACTTGGGCAAAACTTTAAGATGGCATCTTCTAGAAATAAGTGTTACCTAAGTAACAGGTAATCATGAGGCAAAATGAAATAATGAATGTTAAAGTATTCTGTGACCTGGAGAGTTCGTGACAAATTATAGTAGTTGAAACAGGATTTTTTAAAAAAATAAAAAATGAATTTATGATAGGTGACAGAAAATGCTTATAAGTAGATAGGTATATTACCATATACTCCATTTTCCCATTTCCTATTACCATCTTTGTCTTTCTATTATCACGATTATTTCTATTTTATTCTACTTCCTGGCATATTTCAAAGAGGCTGGCAAAGGAGTAATCAGCTGGGAAAAAACTGTCTAAACAGCCAAAGCTACCCCTTAAAATGACATGATTTATTTAAAACATTGTAAGTAGAATATTTCTAAAACCTATTATGCATTTTCTGTACTTCTTAAACAGAAGAAACCTCATATATTTCAACTTCTTGATTTGGGGAACTTCATTATCAATATGCACTATGGTAGTTTTCTTAGAGTGTATTAGATGGTGCAGAACGATGTACTTGTACAATCACTTGCTTTAGACTACCATGCTTTTTGATCTATGTCTATTTTTAGTTTTTCTTTCTCTTTGGATGAAGGAGATAAACAATGAGGGACTCAGTAGCTTAAGGTTTAGGGCGAGTGGCCCAATGATAACAGAACAAATACTGTCCAGGGAATGAAAGTCCAAGCTAGATGATGCTAAGAACAAACTTTAAATGAGTTCAAGTCTCCAGAAGCAGGCAAATCAGCCCTGGGGACTGAAAGCATTTCTAATTCCATTATGTTTGAAGATTCATGGAACAGATCCTGTAGGTGTACAGAAAATTCTACATGAACAAAGATTTTGATTCATGAACAGCTTGATTCAAGGTATCAAAAAGCAAGCTGTAGTCAAAACTCTAAAGTACCTTATTACTTAATGGTTTGTGAGTATTTTCAAAGTAGCAAAGCCCTTTCTAAGTACAACATGAAGCTACATAAAGATTAAAACCTCCTGTGCTTTGAACCTGTGATTGCATTTTTCATATTATAAGTGGAGAAAGGTGTCTTTTATATGTTTATTGGAATTTCTTTCTGCATGAACACCCTTTTCATATTCACTGATTATTTTTAATTGGGTGATATTGATTTCTAGCAGCTCTTTATATATTGAGTATTAATCCTTTTCTATCACAGGTTCAAAGTGAACCTGTACAAGGATATTTGTGGAAGTAGGGAGGTGGATACAACTGAAGTTTGAAGTTTTCTCTTCTCCCTCCCTCTCTCCAACCACCTAACCAGTATTTCCTATGTTCAATTAGTGTTCAAGAGATAAATGAATAAATGATTCTAAATATGAGCTATTGAGTCCCCTTAATCTAGTTCCTGCTGCTCTTACATGACTTTGGCTCAAAGTTTTCTGTGTACACTGCTCTCTCTCACTTCTGTCTGTATCCATGCTGTTTCCTCTCCCTGGGCTTTTCCTGTCTTTGCCTGGGTAGTCATCCTCATCAGGCCTCATCCTCTCCAGCGGGCAAAGGGTTGTAAGAGAAAATTAAACCTGTTCTGCTAGCACAGAAGTTCTAAGAGGGAAATGTTTGTGTCTTTTTTGTTTACATAGCATCCCCTTGCATGAGTTTCCTTGGGCTGTTTCCCCAGAAACAGCACAATGTCTGGCATATAGTGGATGATCGTTGAATGTGTGCTGCTTGCAAGAAGGAATCAATCATCTGTGTCTATTTCATATGCAAATATATATGTGTATATATATATATATTTGTATTGTACCTATATTTAGATCTATATCTTTATATCTAGCTATCTTTAGCTCTTTCTCTACATCACCTATCTATATATGTCAGTTATGTTAGAATGAACTACAGTGATCAATTCCAGCTAGTTTATCAGCCACCAAGGGGCAGGTTGGTGGAGTAGTGGTGCAAGCAGTATGTCTTAATGACTGGCCTTCCCTGCCAGTGCACAGCTTTCCCTGCACTGAACTCCTGGCTAGCTGAAGGTGAGCTTGAGCAGAAACCCTCAGACCTTCGGTATCGTCCCTAAAAGCCACGACCAGGTCCAGGAAGTCCTCTTTCCCCAGGGCCTGTGCAAGCCCCAAAGACCCTCCCACTGCTCGCGGGCCCATGCTACGCTCCCACCTGAACCTCTCTTGACCCGCGGTATCCCAGATCTGGAGCTTGATGCGTTTTCCTGGCTCGATCTCCACCAGACGGGAGAAAAAATCCACCCCCACCGTGGGGTCCGAAACCTGGGCGAAGCGGCCTTCGGTGAAGCGGCGGATCAGACAGGACTTGCCCACCGTGGAATCCCCGATGACAATGAGCCGGAACTGGTACAGCCAGATGGCCTCCATGGCCGGAGCTCGGCAGGTCTCCTTGGCCTGGGCTGTGGGCGGCGAGAGGGGCGCCCCGCCGAGGCTCGGTCCTAATCTAGATCAGCCAGGAGCGCATCGCTGGCCTGGGAGCCTGAGGCGAAGGTAGGCCCAGGCGCAAGGAGAGCAGAGGGATGGATGCTGCGCTCACAGAAGTGATGAAATGGCAGCAGCATCAGCACCACGCACTCTGACTCATCACTGACAACAGGGTTACTGTAATCCTCCACGTAGAGGCGTCTCCCAGGGCCGCACTGTCTGTAAGAGGAGCGCACACAGAAATGGCTGCAAAAGCAGTTCGTTCCCTTTCTTTTTTTCCCCCCAATATATATTTTATTGAAGTATAGTCAGTTTACAATGTTGTGTCAACTTCTGGTGCACAGCACAATGCTTTAGTCATACATGAACATATATATATTCGTCTTTATATTCTTTTTCACTGTAAGTTACAAGATATCAAATATAGTTCCCTGTGCTATACGGTATAATCTTTTTGTTTATTTATTTTATATACAGTAGTTAGTATCTGTAAATCTTGAACTCCCAATTTATCCCTTCCTACCCTGGTCCCTTCCTTCCTAATTCCTCCAACCACCCCCTCTTCTTAATTAAAATTTTTCTCTGTTTACTTTAAATTGCAAAAGTAACACCTTTTCATTAAAATTAACGGAACAACACAAAAATACACACAAAGAGGAAATTAGATAATTATCTGTCCCCTACCTCTCAAGGTATAAACTCTTTGATATATAATCTCCCACATTTATTTATATGAAAATATGCATGTCTATGTGCATTTATTGCTACTTGATTTCACAAAAATTGGATCAAATTGGACCATTATTCTGACGCTTGCCTTTTGTAATTAATGAAGAATCACAGTCCCCTCTCCATTGCCAACTCATTTTCCTTTTGCCAAAACAATGCTGCAATATTCCCTTAAGTATAGTCACACATACATTATTTCTATGAAATAGAGTCTTACAAGAAGCACCAGGAAGTCAAAGAGTATGAATATTTTAAATGTTACAGATATGGGCATTATACTTTGCAATAATATTTAGAAATTTAAATTTTACTCAGCAATGTGTGGAAAGACCACTTTTTGATATTATTTTAAGCATTGTAAGTGCTATTTTTAAAAAACATTTTTTATTGAGTTATAGTCATTTTACAATGTTGTGTCAAATTCCAGTGTAGAGCACAATTTTTCAGTTATACATGAACATGCATATATTCACTGTCGCATTTTTTTCACTGTGAGCTACCACGAGATCTTGTGTATATTTCCCTGTGCTACACAGTATAATCTTGTTTATCTATTCTGCATTTGCCTGTCAGTATATACAAATTTTGAAATCCCAGTCTGTCACTTCCCACCCCCAAACCCCCTTGGCATCCACAAGTTTGTATTCTATGTCTATCAGTCTGTTTCTGTTTTGTATTTATGTTCTTTTTTTTTTTAAGATTCCACATATGAGCGATCTCATATGGTATTTTTCTTTCTCTTTCTGGCCTACTTCACTTAGAATGACATTCTCCAGGGACATCCATGTTGCTGCAAATGGCTTTTTGTTGTCATTTTAATGGCTGAATAGTATTCTATTGTATAAACATACCACATCTTCTTTATCCAGTCATCTGTCGATGGACATTTAGGCTGTCTCCATGTCTTGGCTATTGTACATAGTGCTGCTATGAACATTGGGGTGCAGGTGTCTTTTTGAAGTAGGATTCCTTTGGGATATATGCCCAGGAGAGGGATTACTGGGTAATTAAACTTACAAGCTTCTGCACAGTAAAGGAAACCATAAGTAGAACAAAATGACAACCTACAGTATGGGAGAAAATTTTTGCAAACGATGAAACCAACAAAGGCCTGATCTCCAGAATATACAAGCAGCTCATACGACTCAATAAGAAAAAAATAAACAACCCAATCCAAAAATGGGCAGAAGACCTAAACAAGCAACTCTCCAAGGAAGACATACAAATGATCAAAAAGCACAAGAAAAAATGCTCAATATCACTAATTATCAGAGAAATGCAAGTCAAAACTGCAATGAGGTATCACCTCATACCAGTCAGAATGGCTGTCATTCAAAAATCCACAAATGACAAATGCTGGAGAGGCTGTGGAGAAAGGGAAACCTCCAACACTGCTGGTGGGAATGCAGTTTGGTGCAGCCACTGTGGAAAACAGTATGGAGATTCCTCAAAAGACTAGGAATAGACTTACCATACGTTTACTTCTTTAACCATGCTTTCCTTTAGTTCTGTGAACATATTTGTAATGACGTCTATGAAGTCTTTTTCTGTTAAACCCAACATGCATTTCTATCACTTGTATTGATAGTTTGTGTTGCCTGTTGTTTTCCCCCAGTGTATGAATTATACTTTGTTGTTTCTTTGCATGTCTCATAATTTTTTGTTGGAAACTAGACATTTTAGGTAACATAGTAACTCTGAGTATTGATCCCCTCCCCACCCCAGGGTTTGTTATTGTTACTTATTATTATTATTTTTTTGGTGATTACCTGGATTATATTAGTGAAGTCTATTCTCCCACTTCAACCCCCCTACTTCCCACCCCCCTATATCCTCACACACACAGTGTTAAGCCTCTGATGTTTTACCCTAGAATGACAGTGATGTTAGCAAGGCTCTTTTTGCCTGACCACGTCCAGCTATTAAACCCCACAAATTGCCAGCTAATTACTCTATTGTTTTTATTAAAGCCTTGAGGGCAAAAGTTATTCTTCAGACTAAATCAATCAAATTGTGGCTCCTTTGAAGAATAGTTTTTGAGGTTCATGCTTGATATTTGTTCTGACCCCAGGAAGATTCCTACCTGACCCATAGTCTGGATTTCTATTAAATCTACAAGTCTCCTACCCAGTGTCTTTCACTATAGCATCTACTGTTCCTGAGAGTGTTCTTAGGTTTGAACTTCCCCGTACTCTGTTGTAAATAAAATCAGTTCCTTTGGGAAGAGATTAGGAGCTATGTGTTTTATGGTCTGCTTCTCCCTTTGGGCAAATTCTCCGAGTCAGGGCTCTGGAGCTGGGGTTGGGGACATTGGCAAGTTTCTTTCTGAGTGGCACTGTTGCTCTAGGAGATGAACACTTGGTAGGGGGCATCAGCCTAAAGTGGAACCACCAACTCATGAGCCATGGAAAGAGCAAGATGATCAGGATCCCAATCTTTTTAACACACTGCACCCAGAGTAGTGCCTCAATCTGACAAGTGAGGGCTGCAAGAAGGGAACTTTCACTTCTCAACCACACTTGCCTGGGACTCAGCCTCAGCAACACATAGCTGGGCTCAGGATGAGAAATGTTGACATACTGATCCTTCCAGGAAGAGAGCCCCCCAACTAGGAGTTGAAGGAAAAGAAAGCTACAACAATTTAGTGGCACCTCCACTTTGCTGAGTGGGGTGTGGGAGTGGGAAGGAAGGGAGTGGTCTTGGTTCAAATACTACAGATTCTTGCCTTTCTTATAAAATTTTTATGGATTTTCTTTTTTTGGGGAGGGGAGTGGGAAGTAATTATCTTTATTTATAATGGAGGTACTGGGAACCGAACCCAGGACCTCATGCATGCTAAGTACATGCTCTACCACTTGAGCTATACCTTCCCCCCATGGAGTTTCTTGTTAGGTGTTTCTCTATATGCTGTTTGCAATAAGTATTAATTTCACATATTCTAAAAACTTAAAGTATCACTAAGAAAAATTTATTGTATTACTCTTTTGAAAAATATACTATGATGTTGATGATAGACTTTTAGTTTTTTCCCTTGACAACTACTGTGACCAATTTCAAATATGTTCATAGTACAAATAGCCTTTCTTCATCACAGTTAAAAAAAAAATAATTTCAGAACTGCTATTTTTTTGGGGGGGGAATAGAGGTACTTTATTTATTTATTTATAACATTTTTTATTGAGTTACAGTCATTTTACAATGTTGTGTCAAATTCCAGTGTAGAGCACAATTTTTCAGTTATACATGCACATATATAGATTCATTGTCACTTTTTTTCTCTGTGAGCTACCATAAGATCTTGTATATATTTCCCTGTGCTATACAGTATAATCTTGTTTATCTATTCTACAATTTTGAAATCCCAGTCTATCCCTTCCCACCCTCTGCCCCTTTGGTAACCACAAGTTTGTATTCTATGTCTATGAGTCTGTTTCTGTTTTGTATTTATGCTTTGTTTGTTTGTTTGTTTGTATTCCACATATGAGCGATCTCATATGGTATTTTTCTTTCTCTTTCTGGCTTACTTCACTTAGAATGACATTCTCCAGGAGCATCCATGTTGCTGCAAATGGCATTATGTTGTCAGTTTTTACGGCTGAGTAGTATTCCATTGTATAAATATGCCACTTCTTTTTTATCCAGTCATCTGTTGATGGACATTTAGGCTGTTTCCATGTCTTGGCTATTGTAAATAGTGCTGCTATTAACATTGGGGTGCAGGTGTCATCCTGAAGTAGGTTCCTTCTGGATATATGCCCAGGAGTGGGATTCCTGGGTCATATGGTAAGTCTATTCCTAGTCTTTTGAGGAATCTCCATACTGTTTTCCACAGTGGCTGCACCAAATTGCATTCCCACCAGCAGTGTAGGAAGGTTCCCCTTTCTCCACAGCCTCTCCAGCATTTGTCATTTGTGGACTTTTGAATGACGGCCATTCTGACTGACGTAAGGTGATACCTCATTGTAGTTTTGATTCGCATTTCTCTGATAATTAGTGATATAGAGTATTTTTTCATGTGCCTATTAATCATTTGTATGTCTTCCCTGGAGAATTGCTTGTTTAGGTCTTCTGCCCATTTTTGGATTGGGTTGCTTGTTATTTTCTTATTAAGTCTTATGAGCTGCTTATATATTCTGGAGATCAAGCTTTTGTCAGTTTCATTGGCAAAAATTTTCTCCCATTCTGTAGGTTGTCGTTTTGTTTTACTTATGTTTCCCTTTGATGTGTAGAAGCTTTTAAGTTTCATTATGTCCCATTTGTTTATTCTTGCTTTTATTTCTATTGCTTGGGTAGACTGTTCTAGAAGAACATTTTTGAGATGTATGTCAGATAATGTTTTGCCTATAGTTTCTTCTAGGAGGTTTATTGTATCATGTCTTATGTTTAAGTCTTTGATCCATTTTGAGTTTATTTTTGTGTCTGGTGTAAGGGAGTGTTCTAGCTTCATTGACCATAATTGGGCCTGGCTTGCAGATGGTTCTGCACAATATGCAGGCACC